AGAATTTCCCCCCCCCCCCCCCCCGCCCACCAATATGAAGGATGAATATGTTCGCGTATTGTGAGAATACGAAGTCGTTGAATTAGCACTAAGGTAAATGAACTGCATTTTCGAAAGCTTTAAACAGCGACTCACGCTATATACATATATGTGGTTAAAAACCCGATTTTTGCTCCCTCACCCACGCTTGCTTCCTCCTGCCTATTCCCAGGCTTATTCCCACTAATCCCCACCGACCCATTCAAGGATACTTCGAATTCTCGTAGTGACGATAGGTAAGCTCTGGTTTGAAGGACTTCTCTAAGCCACTAATCAAATGGTAATCCAAATAGACCGCAGTTTGCTTTACGCTTATGTGGTAACCTTGAGGTACACATCCTAAAACTGAACACCTCCACGAAACCTGAAATCGAATTAAGGTAGAGTAGACGCACCTCAAAAACAAGAGTGGGGAAGGTGGCCTTGATAACCATTGCGCCACCAGTTGCCAGTCGTTTTCTCATCTTAGTCAACAGGGCGAGCTTCTCCTCCATAGCCTCATCACTGGACTTTCCAATCAGATGAATCGAAGCTGCCAGGAGAGACAACTCCTCAACAGTATCATCCGAATTAGCATTCACCATCGACGATTCAATCTCCTGCCTATCAATAAGTACACCAATCACTTCACAGAGAGCATCCAAATCTTCCTCAGTAGTGATTTGCTGACTTGCGGGGTCAGTGGAAGACCGCTCCACAGCTCGAGAGATGAAGAGAGATGCGAAACGACGCCGAGCAGAGATATCAAGCAGGCCACAGAGTTTTCGCAAACCGGAAAGACTCAAGAGGGTTGACAGACACCCAAGGGGGCCGGCATTCTTCTCCTGATCTCCGACGGAGATTGGATTTGGTACTCCAGAGGAGAAAATAGAGAGTGTTGCACATTCAGTGGAGGAAACGAGTCTTAGTGGAAAACCGGGACCGTAAAGTGGCAAGTAGAGAAGACCCAGTAGCTCACGAGAGAGTATTGAACCGCCTTGAATCCTGCATGCAGGAAAGAGATATTAAGTCTGGGAGAATGAAGAATAAGTGTTGTACAAAAAACTGATGGCATCAATTACCAGTAGTCAACCGAAAGCTCTACCGATCGGATATGAGTGGAATGGCTTCCTATAGCCCTTGTCATATTGAAAGCGCTATTGAGGGGTTGCGCGGGGTCACGTAAAATACAGTGTATTGACCACTTTTATTAATTTATCTTTCTGCCTTCTTGTCTCCTTTATCTTGGCCAACCGAAAGCTATCTATGAGCACCAACTAACCAATCCAAGTTACCCGACAAATACTCTATCCAGTAAAGTTTAGCTGTGGTTTCATCACAAATTTTAACGTGAGCATTTGAACAACGTCTACGCACAATGGGATACACAAGACGCATCCACGTGGATAATTTGTCTAACGATGAAGTACAATAACATTAACTGAAGTGAGGCGATATGGAAATAAATTTAATTAAGTTTAAAAAATTTAATGTAAAACACATTTCCAGTAGTGGAGATCATTGAGAATGAATTAAAATCCAAAAGAACAAGGCACTTTGCATTAGTTACATAACACATTAAGAAGATATTGACGGCAAACCACTGAATATATTGACAAAGAGATACTGTAGCCTGAGGTGTGCGATAGCCTTACCTCCACGTGGTGAACTCTGGGGGCAACGTATAATCACACGACAAAAAAGTCTATAAATAGTTGACTTCTGACTTCAAACTACCATGACCCCCACTGTTTGTCATGTTTGACTACTTCCACCTTACCTTTTTCTTTACCTTAGTGTCTGTCTCTTTTTTATCTGTGAATCACTCTTCTGTCCCCCTCCCTCAACCTGTTGTGACTTTAATGTTCCTCCTCTCTGTGAAACCCGAAGTCAAATAACGAGCTAATGACAGCTATCAAATGGCAAGCATTTTGATGGTTATCATAAGCCCTTTAGTTGGCTTCAGGCTTCACAGAGAAGGAACATCAAAGTAAAAAAAGTCGAGAGGGGGAGGGGGGGGGGGAACAAAAGAGTATTTCAAAGATGTAAAAGAGACAGACACAAAGTTTGAGAGTATTTCAAAGATGTAAAAGAGACAGACACAAAGGTATAGTGAGGTGAGTACTGTGAAAGTAGTCGAAAATGACATACAGTGAGGTGATGGTGTTTTGAAGTCAGAAGTCTACACCGTACAGTGGGGTCATGGCAGTTTGGAGTCAGAAGTCAACTGCCGATAGGCTTGCCGTATGAGTATACGTTGCCCAGGGTGCATCACGTGGAAGTAAGTCTATCGCACACCCCATGACAGCTATCATAAAACCTGGCATTTGATAACAATAAGTAAATACTGTAGCCAAGACGCCACTTACTCGTTTAAACTGATAGGCTTAAAAAGGAGATTTAGAGATCCAATACTTATACTAACATTGACATTTAATAAATTACGTCAGTCGCCAAAGTTACTGAAACGTCCAATGCCCCCCCCCCCCCCCCCCACGACCACTCAGGTCGAAGTCATCATGGATTGGTAGGAAAAAACGGTTTCAGTAGAACGAAAACTACATCAAATCTTACTTCTAAAAAAAAACAAATTTGCCAAAATATTTTCCCAAAGCACTCTCTATTTTTATTTAAGTACGAATCAAAGGACTGCAAGAAGATGCAGCTGAGAAAATAAGACGCACTTTAATTTCCGTACGAAATGTCGTCTATTTGAAGTTGACTATCTGAAGGTGAATTGAAACAAGTTCGCTTGTGGCGGCAATAGTCTTGACAACGGCGTATTGAACTGTTGAATATGCGAAAAAGAATTGAAATGCCTCCAATGAAAGCAATTTGCCTTTCAAAGGCAGCTTTAAGATGAAATGGACCAGCGAGTTAAAGACGAGAGCGGAATAGTTATCGCAAGTCTTGAACCGGGGTGTGCGATAGACTTACCTCCACGTGGTGCACTCTGGGCAACGTATTCTCATACATCAGAAAATTCTATTAACTGGCAGTTGACTTCTGACTTCAAACTACCATCCCCCACTGTATGTCATATTCGACCCCTTCCACAGTACTCACCTCACCTTTTCACTCTACCTTTGTGTCTGTCTGTCTCTTTTACATCTGGGAATCATTATTCTGTCCCCCTCTCGACTTTTTGCCACTTTGATGTTCCTCTTCCTTTCTGTGAAGCCCGAAGTCAACCAAAGAGCTAATGATACCTATCATAGAGCCTGCCATTTGGAATAAATAAATAAAGTCTTGAACCGGAAGACTAAAGATCAGTGACCCCCAGTAGTTCCAATCGTAGGTGGAGTAGTAATCTCTACCCATCAGTGGATAGATATGCCTGAAAATGGAACCCACCTGACAGTAGAAGAAGAGGAAAGCGTTTCCAAAGCAGTAGCAGCCGAAAGTAGAACAGCATTCACTTGATTAGTACGAATGGACTCCGGGAGAGCAATAGCCATGGAGAGGAGGGGAGCAAAGAGGCCGGGGACATCTTCTGGAGGAAGACCGATTCGAGCATCCGAAGCAGTGACTGGAGATGTTGTTGAGTAAAGTTCACCACGACGATGAACTAGTTGACCGAGTTCAACGGATAGTGATTGGAAAAGAGCTTCACCATTGCCGTTCTCCTCTTCAGAGACGTAGCGCAGGAGTCTGAAATTGACACAAGAGAGATGGCAGTTAGTAAAGGAGACAACTGAAAGCATATTATTGTTTTGTTCGTTAACCACTCAGTTAATACATTGAAGGCAACAGCACAACGGAGTGGATCGATTTGTGAAAGCAGCTAATACTTGCACCCACAGACAGAAACATTGTCGCATTCGAATCTTGTACATTTAGCCGATTTAAAATAAAAGATAAAAAGATATTTAAGAAAATTGGATTTTGAATTACACCCAAACAATTCAAACACATGAAAGTCCTCCAATTGAAACTATCAGGAAGTAATGACTCAAGTGAATGTATTCAAATAAGTGTGTCTAAATTCAAGAAAACAGATCTGCAGAATTTGACCTTAAATTGTATCGAAAATTAGGGTGAAGTACAGGAGAAAGCATAAAGTAACATAGGAGAGACCATAAATAATAAATTACCTTTCCACAAGACTAGAGATGATCGGTTTGAGTTTAACGGCCGGTTGGAGATGTTCACACGCCTGAAGAAACTGAGGGAGAGTGACTGCGTGAAACTCATCGGGGAATGTCTAGAAAGTATACCCAAAAAATTTGATTATTCACAAAAAATGACAAAATATAAGCAAGCATAAGCTGCTTACTTGAACAATGGCATCCATAAGATATTCTTGAGCAATCACGTCTCGACACTCAATAAGCTGAGTTAAAATCCTCGGAAGAATGTGCTAAAACGAGGGGGGGGGTGAAGGAACGAAAACCAAAGTAGGATGGTACTTATAAAACGTAAGTAGATGCTGCTATATATTTTACTCTCATATACCTGTCGATAGAGATGAGGTGTAATGGATGACAGTTGTGATAGACGATGAAGATTAGCCCCAACCAGGACACGGAGATCTCGACGCTCCTGTTCACGACGTTCGCGCTCCCTTGTGTGGCCCTGATGTTGCATGCGGACCCACAACTTATTCATTTCTGCAAAGTTGAGGAGGATGAAGTTGACACTGTCTAGCACGTCCGCTGATGAATCGCATTGGCCGGTTTTGGCGCTAGTAGCGGAAATTTCCTTGCCTTGGACAACATCGACTTGAGTGGAAGACCCGTTTACACCGGCCTCTTCAGCGACCTAAAGGGAAATTATGGCAATTAAATCGATACTTATTTATATCAAATAGTAGGCTTTATGATAGGTATCATTAACCCAATAGTTGACCTCGGGACCGATGCTGTGAGAACAAACCAGTGATGTGGACGATTCATCCATGTGTTGTGAGTACTTTCCACAATTTGTTTGGGATATGAAATAGCCTTAAAAAGCAATACAAAATTAAACGGGTTGTTCCTGAGAACCCCGGGTGACAAGTTGACTACTCACTAGTTCAAACATCATACATTGTCAAACCGACGAACTTATGAAATTCAAAACTTCAACTTTCTGTCGAAGCTAATATCCATCCGAGAAATCAACGAATATGGCTATAATAACTGTTTTTAAGCGAGGAAGTGAGTCCATGTTCCCACAATAGAAAATGAAATAATGCAATCAGATCCATGCATACCTGTGGTATAGAGATCACCAAGGAAATCAAAGGTCAGTGAGATTTGATACTCATCGGCGTAACATCTACCGAAAGAAGTAAAAATATACCCAACCAATGATCGATAAGATTAGGGGGGATAGTGTAATAGGAATTTCTCGCCGATGTGTTCAAGATATATGTTGGACCCGTGAATGAACCGAAGAGTCTATGCAATCACTACTTGAAGCCAGGAGACCATTGATAGAGTATTTTGTGGAACAAAAACAAAGGCACCAAATACCCCCCCCCCCTCTCTCTCTTTTAATGATGTTAGAACATATATAGATCAATTGTAATACTAAGTCCATTAATTTAGCAGACTCAAATTCAATACAATCACAATATTTATTAAAATCGATGAGGCTAACCTTAAATCAGAAGAATTTCTTCCCATGTTTTACGGCTTTCTCCCATAGTATTATGCATTCAAAATGGCTACAATTACTAGCGTCAAAGTCTCTACCACAAATTAACGGAGAAAACTTCCCAACCGCATTAAAACGTCACAACTTGTCAAAACAGGAATAATCCGGGGTTACTTTATGAGAAATTTGTATTCCAACGACACCCTCACTGACCCAAATCAAGCTTTGGGAGTTGGCCTCTAACTTAGACATGCACAATGGCATGCCAATTATATTGAGCAAAGAAATGGCGATGAGGTAATGAGCATCGTTATTAGAGACAATTTGATAATATTGACAGATTTTCAAATTTGACTTCTGCGGTTTGGGGCAGAAAGCCGCAAAAGCCACCAATGGAAATAGATTATGCAATATAAAACATAGAGTAGATATGATTGGTTGGTTAGAATAAGATATTTTTGACAAGTATCAGGGGCACACTTTGAAATAAACAAGTAGAAGTAACTAGGTTAACATAAACAAACCTCGATGACATACAAAATCCTTATTATATTTTAAGCTTGAGAAGTCAGAAACGTGCCTGACTAGTACAATAACAAGGGTTCGAAGTAAAAAGTGAAACCTGAACGACTATTAACCACAGACAATTGAAAACTAAGCTAAAGAAATTGATAGAGACTCTTTCTAGTATATTCGCAAAAGATAGGAATACATTTTATTGCAACTAAAAAAATAAAATGAATTGAAGAATTTCCAATATAATTTGACCTAATTTAAAAAATAGCAATAATCACTTAAAGAAGTGTAACTTACTATTTCAGGCGGTAAAGTATCAGGAAGCAAATTGGCTGGAATCGAAGTTAAAAGAAAATTTCGAAGAAAGAGACCACGCAGTGGATGCTGTACGCCACGACACATTTCCACCAAGTCCCGCAAAATTTCCCTGACAGGAAGCTCACCGACTCGCATATATACAACCCCGACAGTGATCAAAAGATATCTGAAAGTAAATCGTATAAAATAAGTGTTCAGTTCGAATTTATTTAATAAAAAAGAAAGGAAACCACGTACAGCCGAGGAAGAACACTTGAAACATATTGCACCATTTCATAAAGATGAGGAATAGACTTCCCTTGCCGAAACTCATCAGTGAGGTAGACATCAACCATATTAAGAACCTCCATGGCTTTTATATCTAAAGATACATAAGTTTAAACGTTGTCATACGTATTTCGTAGTAAGCTTTAGGAGAGAGACCAGATGTTCTAAGGCCAAGGAGAGCGTTAGCACAACAATGGAGTCCATCCATATTAGATCCATTATCCTGAGCAAACCAAAATAATAAAATAAATATCTCTTACAAAGTATACTTTGACCGCATGTTTTTGCTGCTCCATAGCAGCAATTGTTCGTTCTAACAACCTCTCGCTCTCACTCGAAGGCATTTTCGCGAGCTTTACTGCGGTTGGGTTATTTAATTTTCGCGCCGGTACTCTAGATGCACTAAACTAGCTCCCATTTACATATTCATAAGTATACATGCCATATTGTTAATGCCAGTTATTTTTAATGATTTATGTTTCTATACATTTACTGTTTTTATTTTTTTAAGTTGAAGTATTATAATTAGGTAATTTGTCAAAATATGGGGATGTATTAGGTCGAGACTGCTAAAGAAAATGAGGTTCTCTAATTTTTCTTACCCCCCCCCCCCCTTGTATTCATAAGTAGCTCAGTTATTTTCGACTTTGGCGAGAGCTTTTAATTTGGCATGCATTTTGGTTTATCCTGAGAGTATAACTTATCGAATTTTTTTGCTACTAACAACTTGTTTCAATTAATATTTTATTACTGTTATATCCTATGATTGTTAGTTATCACCTACAGATTGGTAAAGTGAAATCTAAACATAGGCATCTGTAGTAAGTTAATGCCTATATTATTACCATTTCTTTATAATTATTTCACTTATTCGTTCACTATTTCGGTATATTATCCTGGCAAATTATATGCATCCCCGACTCGAACTCTCACAAACGTCAAATCGTGTCTCCTTCATTTAAGATGTATTTCAGTTCATACATCCTTATTCTTCCTTTAAGAGTGGTGACTTAAAAGTAGCTAATATATATTTTCAAGAAAGAAATCTTTCCCTTACCGATACGCTTTTGTAAAACGCATCAAATTTTCTGCCACTTCTAAAATGTGCCGTAAGTCACAAATGGTATCAGGCTTATTGGTTTTGATAAAAATACTCCCCAACTCCAGTGTTTCATTGTCGAAAGAACCAGCACTGTAATAAAACACCAACGTTGTCTGTCAACTGATCCCTTCTGTCTCGTTAAGGCTCCAACTCTCCGACTACCTGAATCTATATTTCTTAGTAAACTCTTTATTCCGTTATATATATATATATATATATATATATATATATATATATACGACAGGCTCCTTACATCGCAAATTGAATTATTATGGCAGATGCACGCAAGTTACCTCGACTTTAAATCAAGGCGATAGGCCGTAGCAAAACGAACATTACAAACAAAGGAGGAAAATGACAGAAATTTGCGTTTTCAAAATGGTGTCTATAGGTTCCACAGTATAAAGCCAAAAATGAATTAATGAAAGCTGCTGCATACACTTCAGTAATTTCAATAGAAAAACACAAAATATAGCAATATTTCGATCATTAAAAATTCTTTTAAGTAGATTTTAGAAGTATGCAATCAGTTACTTCAATGACTCAAACCTTTAGTAAAATGTTAATTTTGACTTTATATTAGTAAATTAAATCATATTATCATCGTATGCATCAGTACTATTATATTAGCATTATATTATCAATAAATGAGTCATGCTTGTATATTCAACCTGTGTCTAACAGAAACTCCTCTAGCTACCATTAAAGTGAGTCAAACTGGGTTTCTTTATTCGTATTCACTTGGTCAATGTTGCCACTCTAGTGAATATCTGGATGAATGAATTCTTAATGACCTGGGCACACTAAAAAATGTTGCAGTTAGAAGATTAACTAATTCCCCACTGATAAACTTCTAACTTATTTAACTTCTAACTTTTTTTCAATTTGTGTGATGTCTAGTTCTCCTCAGTATACTGTATTTCTCTTCAAATAAAAAAACTAAGATTTTGGAGTCAGAGTTAGTTGATTCGGGTACCTTTTTTAAGAGAGAGAGAGAGTGCTATAGTGAACAAAGAGTTGTTGTTGTTTTCAAATGGCAGGCGTTTTGATAGCTATCATTAACCATTTAGCTGACTTCGGGCTTCACGGAGGGAAGGTTCATCAAAGTAGCAGAAAGTCGAGGGGTGGGGAACAGAAGAGCGATTCACAGATGTAAAAGAGGCAGACAGACACAAAGGTAGGGAAAAGGTAAGATGAGTACTGTGGAAGCGGTCGAATATGACAAGCAGTCGGGCCATGGTATTTTGAAGTCCGAAGTCAACTGCCGGTTAATAGACTTTTTTGCCGTATGAGTATACGTTGCCTAGGGTGCACCGCGTGGAGGTAAGTCTATTGCACACCCCGTGAACAAAGAGAAGTCTCAAGGAAGTGGGCTAGACCTATGTTCTTACGAAGGGAGGGGGGCGGGGGAGGGGAGGTAGGGTGGGTGCGTACATGTCTGTTTATATATCTGCACAAATGTACTTTGGCACTGTCTAGGAGCAAAGTAATTAGGCGTTTGGATAGAGATTTAGCTAACAGTGATTAATGCACAAAAGGAGAACAATTTAATCAACGAAAAAGTAAATTAATTTGAAGACAATGAGACTACATAACCTTTAAGGTTTAATTAATACACTGGAATAGGGGAAATCATTCAAAAAACCTTTTAGTGAATATTTATTTATATCAAATGGCAAGCGTTTTGATGGTTATCATTAGCCCTTTAGTTGACTTTAGGCTTCACAGAGGGGAGGAGGAACATCAGTGAAAAAAAAGTCGAGAGAGGGGGTTGAAGAGAAGTGTTTCAAAGATGTGTAAAAGAGACAGAAACACAAAGGTAGAAAAAAGGTGAGGTGAGTACCGTGAAGTAGTCATATATGACATGGAGTGGGGTGACGGTAGTTTGAAGTCAGAAATCAACTGCCAGTTAATAGACTTTTTTGCCATATGAGTATACGTTGCCCAGGGTGCACCACGTGGAGGTAAGTCTATCCCACACCCCCCCCCCCTTTTAGTGAATATAAAGTAGACCACTATGCATGGGCATGAACAACAAATAAATATCTTTTTTTCCATCAAGTAAATGAAAGCATGAATAGCATGAGAGGCCTCTCTGAGTGCTTTGGAAAATTCAAGATCTTTTGGTGGGGGGGGGGGGGGGGGGGGGAGGGGTATTAAACAGTGTAGTTAAAGAAATAAAATCAGCAAAGTGAACATTTCCATAAGAAAGACGCAAACGTGGACAATCCTACTAGATCTTACTACGCCTAAAGCAACGAGAACTCATAGGCCATGATATGGATTCTTACTGTACAAACCCAGTTTGCAAAGTCCAATTAAATTCAAAGCTGTATGAATATTGATCACTGCTTCGCACTTGTTCCATATGCAATCATTAAACCCCCCTTTCCAAAATTGTCAATTTCGACAGCCTTAGTTGCATTGTGCACTCCACAAATAATGATGTTAATAGTCTAATTACAAGTTGGATTTGGCTGGTTCCTGTGGTGATAGGTCAAAATGTCAACTTCTAACAAGCTGCACTGGAGTGAAGAGAAAAAAAGTTTGATGCTTTACTCTGGATACATTGGAGATACTTCTGCATTTCACTCTTAATTGGTAACCATTGTGACAAGCGCTCCCCAGTTATGTTGTGGGTGGCTGAAAAATGGGGCACGGAACTCGCTGAAAGTCACATTTATTTGCTTGAAGCTTGGTAAAGGTACACAACGTATCCGACTGGCATTTTGGAATTTGTACTTCCCAAACTAATGGGAAGAAATTACTCATTAAACTATTGTGGTTTCCGGCCTTTCTTCTGACAGCCAAGTGATATGAATTAGATGTGGCATTTCAATGACATACATTAGCCCTGAGGGTTTCCTACAATGGTTCTGTTTTTTTTTAACCTGGTGATTATTGCGAAAACAACTTTGGTCTTGCTTACAAAGGACCGTATAATTGTAGATTTAATCCTGTTTGCATGCCTAGAGCCACCAACAGCTTGTAACCTATTTAGCTATCACTTAAGTTGATTATCGATTTGTTCAAAGGCTGCCAATCGGATTCATTTTACCGTGTGGCCGAGATAAAATGAGGGAGGGGGGAGTTAGGAGTGTCAAGTGTATCACAGCGACAGCGAAACTGAGCTCTCTTACGTAATGTCACAAATAGTCCTGTATTTATCATTTTGAAATAAGAATTAAATATTCATTTAGCCTTCACTACTCCTACGAGACCTCATTTGCCTGGACCACCCTATACCCGTGACTCATCTGTCCTCTCATCGATTTGTCCTTGAATTAGCCTTTTTTCCTACTCCCCATAATTACTGCAATTTTTTTGCATTTGATTTTGAACGAGCTCATTGAAGCTTTGAAGGCGAATTCAGCAAAATAAAGGCTTCTTCAACTCTCCCTATTCACAAATGAGTTGGTCAAGTAACAACTGTTTCATTAACGAATTTATTACCTGGTTTTCATTTTATTCATAAAAAGGAGTTAGATTCTTAAACACAAATTAGTATAGTCTGCTTGTGGGTACTCAAGTGAGCTTTAACATACCAAAATTCCTTGATAAGTCTCCTATACACCCTTGTCACTGTAAGAAGTTACAATTGAATCACGGTGGCCTGAATCCTCCCCCCCCCCTTGAAACCCTTTTAATGAACCACAAAAACTCGATTTCGTAACATTTGGCAAGTGTGAAAGAGAAAGTGGAGATAAGAGTGCTACCAGACTTAGATCCTCATTTCATTCTCTATTGGACTATTCTTCCACCTCTGTCATGAATGCAGTAGAGAGCTCACACCATACCTCCAGAGACCCTAACAGTTGTGTAGTTATCAAGTCCAACTATGATTGGTCATAAAGAATGGTGGCAGACTCTACCTTCCTGTGCATGTTTGAAGGTTTTATTTTTTTTTTGCCTTCTGGAGACAAATTAGTCGTACCAGATATACATTGAACCCCCAACCCCCCCCCCCACTTCCAGTCTAACATGTTCATACATTTTCCTCATCATGTAATACACCTCCTGTTCTCTCCATCTTTCTATCTTTCTGCCTCTCTCCTACCCTTTCTCTCCCTCTCATCCTCACAACTTTACGTGCCAAAGACGCGAAACATTTACAATTTCAAATGTAGACTTGGCAAAACCCCCCTCACCCCCCTCCCCCACCCTTGTGCCTTTATCTCTTATTAAAAATGGGAAATATCCATCTCATAGATGCAAACCACTCAAATGCTATCTAAATGAGTT